CTTCCTTGGTCTGCTACATTGGGGGTCGACGTTGTATAAACCTGATATGAATGTGATAAAGCACTGTTTAGTCTCTTTATAATTATTTGTTCAATTAGCTTTGTAGAAATCTGGTAGAGTGCTATATGAATGGGTAAATGAGGGCACAGCTTGTAGTGTAAAGTATTTTGAGTATCTTGATAAGATAGAAATGTGCTATATAAGTACAGTCCATTTACCATTACGCGGGCATCTTTACTACTACCAAAACTGCTGCCGACATCTTCCTTATTAGCCGATAACACAGATATCTGCTGATTCCAAAAAGCAGAAACCCTGTTATCATAAATCCAATTATGTATGCATCTTCTACGTCCTCAACAGACAGCACAGACAAGCACATCATCTTCCAAACACCCCAGGAATCCATGAGATATCCTGTTGCATGTGTCCCTTCAGGACATGAGTTGTTCTCTTGCACACTGCCTTCGGGTAGAATTTTTTTAATCAATTGCGTTGAGAGACCAGCTGACCATATACATAATAATTTTTGGTTCTGAAAATGTATAAAGAGAGGCTTTGAGGAGGTTCACAGGACAAGAGAGCAAAAAAGTAGGAGGGAGGGAGGAGTGGGTGAAAGGGACAGTCTTCATCGAGACATTTTCTTTGTTATGCTGATGACACAATTATGTTTGTCCATTAAACCCAATGAATACACTCAGTTAACAAGCATGTCTTAAAGACATAGAAAACATGGATGACCCGTAATTTTCTTCATTTGAATACAGACAAGACTGAGGTTTTAGTTTTGGACCTGAACATTTTAGGAATTCAATTTTTAGTCTTTTGCTCTCCTTACCATACCATACCAATTTATTTATAGAGCACTCAAAACAGCAACAAGGCCAACCAAAGTGCTGTACAATAGAAACAAACAAGCACAGTGGACAGGAAAACATAAAATAAAAATATAGATACAAATAACAGCAGATAATTAAAGCTGCAAGCAGCATTGAAGGCCCTCGCAGCAAAGCGCTGTTCCGGCCTTACGGCGACCGCGGGAGCTCCAGCGACTCCGCCCAGTCGCCATCGCGAAAGCTCTCACACCCATCCCCTGCTTGTTTACCAGGTTGCGCATTTGCCGAAACTTCGACATCACCTGCAACCGTGGGAGCTCCAGCAATGCCTCCCAGTCGCTATGGCGAACGTTCTAATGCCATTCCCGCACGTGTCCACCAGGGTGCGCATATGCCAATTTTTTATCAATCACCTTCTGCCCATATCAGTATGAGTCCGGCTGCAAGCCTTACAAGTTTGGCTAAAATCCGACCTTTCAGACATGAGTTATTGTCACTTCCTGTTTTTTTCGAACATGTAAAGGACTTCCTATAGGCATGTCATAGGTGGTAATCAACAGTTTGTGAATATGGTTTCAATCTTATATCTTACACAGTGCCAAGCTGGAAGAGTCACCCAATAATCATCAGTTTCTTCTCTGAGTGGGACAGGCTTAAGTCAAGTCATGAATCAACAATACCAATGTGTCTACAAGTGCTCACTGATGAAGCATAAAAAAAATCTGGTCTAGATCAGATGATGTATCACTGAGATATAATGGTTGGAAAAATCTAGGGGGCAAATTGGAGTGAAATGTTAAACAACAATACCAACGTGTATAGAAATGCTAACTGATCAAGCACAATAAATCTGGTACAGATTGGATGATGTATCACTGAGATTTAACTGTTGGAATAATCTACGGGGCACACTGGAGGTAAAAGTTAAACCCTAACACCAATGTGTCTAGAAGTGCTCACTGATTATGCACAAAAAAATATGTCTGAGATCAGATGATGTATTACTGAAATACAACTTTTGGAATAATGTAGGGGCACACTCAAGTCAAATGTTAAATAACAACATAAATGTATATGGAGATGCTCACAGATGACAAACCAAAAATTTGATGCAGATAGGATAATGTATCATTGAGATACAGTTTGAATAATCTAGGGGGCGCACTTGATGTTCAAATGTTAAACAACAATACCAATTTGTCTAGAAATGCTCACAGAAGACTCACCAAAAATCTGGTAAAGATAGGATGATGTATCACAGAGATATAACTGTTGGAATATTCTAGGAGGCGCATTGAAGTGATATGTTAAACTACAATATCAATGTGTCTAGAAGTGCTCACTGATGACGCACAATAAATCTGGTGCAGATCGGATGATGTATCACTGAGATATACTTTGTATCTGTAGGAATAATGTAGGGGGCGCTGTGGAGGCTATTGGCCACTTATCATGGATTCCTGTTCAAGGGGTAGATAATGATCGATCATCATGATTTTGGTGCACCTTGGCTCAAATCTGTGCAATTTAGAGCCAAACGTATTTCAACGGCGGCACTTCTTAATTCGTCACGCCGCCACACCCACATCGTCCAGCAAAACTGTTTGTGTTTTAATGCATGTCAGACCAACATGTTCTCTGTCTTCTAACACAGGATCATCCTGATTAGGTCAAGGGCATCATAAAGGGAGTGGCTGTAAACCGCCACAAAGGTGTGAATTTTGGAAGCTTAGTCCAAAATGGCTACCTTCCTATGTATTGTACAGTATTGGTGCCAGAGGCTTTTCTGTACGTCTTGGAGAGATGGACAAGTGTACCCAATTGAATGCTTGTACGGCAAAGTAAGGTCAATGCGGAGGGCATTTAGAAAATGAGAAATACAAAGAAATGACCCTTTGACCCAAAATGGCCAACTTCCCATTGAGTTTGGACAAGGGCTCCAAGAAACTTTTTCATAGGGCCTGATAAGATACAGATTTACACAGAGTTTCATAATTATCAGTCATAAATCAGCTTAGGGCTGAGGGTTTTAAAATATTGTAGGGGGAGCTGTGGAAGCTTTTGGCTACTTATCATAGATTCCTGGTCAAGGGGTGGATAATGATCGATCATAGTGATTTTGGTGCACCTCGGCTCAAATCTGTGCAATTTAGAGCCAAAAGTACTGCAACAGCGGCACTTCTGAATTCGCCACTCTGCCACGCCCACATCATCCAGCGAAAACGGTTTGCACTTTAAAGCAAGTCAGACCAACTTGTTAAATGTCTTCAAACACAGGATCATCCCAATTAGGTCAAGCTTGTCAGAGTGGGAGCATTCCAAGTAACATTAATGCGGCGAGCAGCATTGGAGGCCCTCGCAGCAAAGCGCCACTCTGGCCTTACGGCGACTGCGGGACCTCCAGCTAGTCTATCCAGTCGCCATCGTGAATGCTCTCATGCTAATCCCACATGCGTTCACCACGGGGCACATTTCCCTAATCTTCGACATCGCCTTCCGTCCATGTTGTTACTTGTCCAGCTGTAGGTCTTACAAGTATAGGCGAACTCTGACCTTCCAGACAGGAGTTATGGTGACTTTCTGTTTTGTCGCGAATGTTTGACAAGCACTTCCTTTATGCTTTTCAACATGTTATGTGTGGTAATCAACAGTTAGCGAACAAAGTTTCAGTCTAATATCGTACACAGTGCGAAGCTGGAAGTGTAATCCAATAATCAACAGTTTTTTCTTTGAGTAGGTGGGGCTTAAGTGACATCATGAATCAACAATACCAGTGTGTCTACAAGTGCTCAGTGATGAAGTACAAAAACTCACATTCAGATTGGATGATGTATCACTGAAATATAACTGTTGGAATAATCTACG